GGCTTGTGTTGTGGGGATTGAACCACAGCAACCTGAGCCTGACTGCTTTGTTGAAGCAGCCACTTAAAGAACTGAGCTAAGGGGCAGGCCCCCAAAACCCCTTTATTATAAAGTGGAACACAGTTCACTAAAATTCTATCTTGTGATTTGAGGGTCCAAACTTTATGTAGGATAGAATTTCTGCAATCCTAGGTCATTGTTACTACCATTTTAATACCATTCCCCTTTAACATAACATACATTGAATTCTAGGTAAATAACAAGTACTTCTTTTCCTTTACATTATTTGCTTCTTGTTCATATGTAAAAGTGAATACATTCTTTTTATAACTAGAGAAAAAATATATATATATATATGTTTTTGGGTTTTTTTCACAGAACTGGGGATTGAACTCAGGTCCCAGTGCTTGCCAGGCAAGCGCTTATTCCACTGAGCCATCTCCCCAGCCCCTAGAAAATATTCTTAATGTAAGAATATTTTCCTTTTTTTAATAACACTTTATGCAATTATTTTGAACTAGAAACTTTACATTTTAGAAAATATCTAATCCTCTGAACATTATAAGGCATTTGCAAGAAATGGCATATATTTACCATTACTTTAATTGTAAGGTACATATCACTTAGACTAACCCCAGTCTGTCATTCCATGGTCTGAAGTAAAGATAAATGTTGTTTTTTCATCATTTTCATAAAAATCTTTAAACATAGACACAATCTCTTTCACTCCATCATCGACAATTTTAATATTATCCTTGTATTCCCTATTTATAAAGAAACAATAGAACAAATTAAGTTAACTTGCAGAAATCAAATTCATTCAAAATAGACTCTTTAAAAATCAGGAGTCATAAATGCTAGTAAAATTAATTTTTAATATATTAAAATCAGATATTCAGGGGGCTGGAGAGATGGCTCAGTGGTCTAAGGCACCTACTTGGAACAAGCTTGGCAAAGCATCAGGGACCGCGGTTCAATCCCCCAGCACCACATGCCAGCCAGCCCCGCCCCCTGGTGGGCTGAGCTGGCCACACACACACACCACACTCTCTCTCTCTCTCTCTCTCTCTCTCTCTCTCTCTCTCTCTCTCTCTCAAATAAATAAAAAATAAAAAATAAAAAAATAAAAAAAAAAAATTAAAATCAGATATTCAGATCATAGAAAATAGTTTTTTTTCTTCACTTTGGTGAAACAAAAGAACCTGAAATAGTTTTCAGAGATGATTAAAAGGATGAAACTGATTAGAAAATAAATTTTAATCAACTATTTTGTTTTTAAGTCTCAAATGAGAAAAAGATCACTTTCAAATGCATTCTCACATAATAAATGATACTTTATGGCCACCTTAACAGATATGCATCACTGTGTCAATAGAATATTTCCATCCTATGTGTTTGTGATATAAACTATATCTTGAAAACATTATATTTAAGTTTACCATATGTTGAACAAAGATAGTTTCATGTGACTATATTCTATCTATTAAAACAAAGCATAATCCTAAAGAAGGGGAACATATATTCATTACTGGTAGCTAACTCAATATAATTAATAAATAGGATTATATAAACCACACTGAGAATAAAGAATACAAGTATAACATGATTTCTTCCTCTTTCTTATGGTCTGCAAAATTAAGAAAAATATGTGTTATATCTAAGGAATGCTATGGAAATATATTATCTCTCTTTTTTTTTTTTTTTTTGGCGGAACCGGGGATTGAACTCAGGCCCTTCTTATTCCACTGAGCCATCTCCCCAGCCCCAATGCTATGGAAATATAAAGACAAAATTTACACAATTATTTGTTAGATACAGTAATGAATAAATGGAACACTGAAGGAATATCTTTCTTTGTAGTGTAAACATTAGTCCCATAAAAGTACTCATTTCAAGACTCATTGAAAATATTTCTAAAAGATACAGATATTTTAAATAAAATACTTTCTGTGGTTTGATAATGAAAAATATGGAATATAGGTACTGTACACCTTTCATTAGCTAACACATATGATTTTTTTTTTTTTTTTTATTTTAGGGAAGGGTCTACAGGGTGCTCATGGTCTCACTACTAGATCAGACTCGTAGTGATCCACCTGTCTGTAGCCTCCCAAGAGCTGGGATTAAAGGCATGCACCACCATGCCCGGTCTCAAACCCCCAGCCCCTGTGCCCGCTTGTGGCACTTTAATCTGCTGAGCTATTTGGCCAGACCCATATGATTTTTTTTAAGGAAATGCATTTTACTGATGCAATAGAAAGAACATCTTAGATCTGAAGATCAGAGTTTCTCATCAGAGGTTTTATTATTTTTTGCCTTACACTTTTATAAGAAGAGATAGCCAAGGTATAGGTCAAGTGTAAATACACAGAACCTCAACCACTCTTTCATAATACATATAATTCAGGAACTGTTACATTAAAATATAGTTATAAAATTATAATTACAAAGAAAATATAATTTAACAATTCAAACAGTATCAAATTGAACACAGCATTAAAATTACCTTGATGATGGTCGGTGAGCATGTCCATTTGTATCTATTCCTAATAAGTGTAAGAAAAACACTATTTTTTCTTCATTTATTTTAGCAAACAAAGACTGGTTGTTTCTGGCAGAATGAAAAAATTCCTAAACAAAATAAATCAATTATAATTTTAAGTTCATAAAATCAGCTAGAAGCACTAGCTAATGGAAACATTTAATTAAATGTATCGCTATAAAACTAAAGTATCATTGTCCACTGTGTTCTCCATATCTCCCAACAGAAAGTTATCAGCTCAAACATCTATATTCAAATAAGTGAGCTATTTTCTGTGTTATAGTTAGGCCAAAAGAGATTATAGAGAGGGGACCTTAATTTCATGAAGATTTAAAATCATTTTTACTATACACTTAACTGAATAAAATGCAACAGACTGAAGAAATATTTTGGCATGAACTGAAAACAAAACAGACAGTGCTAACAGTTTAAAAAGAAATTATTATTTTTAAATATACTTAGAGCTGGAGCACATCGCACTGTCTTGTCTGCACCACTTTAGTCCCACCATAATCTCTCATTTAGAACATCTCTTAACTACTACCTTTGTTGCAACTAAAATAATTCAGTAGGAGAGAAGGTCCTTTCTATCCTCATACTATGAGTCTAAAACAAAACTAATGGTTGAATTTCATCATTTTCTTAAGATTGTGAGATGACCCTGCAGATAAAACTCATGCTCTGAGGATAGAGAACAACTTCAGGACACTGGGTCATAACACCAATCACTGGCTGCCTACTTTTGGCATTATATTTACCAAAATAGAAACAAGATTTTTTTTTTTTTTTTTTTTTTTTTGTGGTACCAGGAAATGAACCCAGGTCCTTGAGCTTTCCAGGCAGGTGCTTATGCCACTGAGCTATCTCACAAGCCCAGAAATGAACTTTTAAGTCATTTGTTTTCCTACTATGCAGAGCTGAACCTAGTCTAAATTAATGTATGTGTCTATGTGCCACATAAAAAGTTTATACAAACTGAGGAAACCTCAAATAATACAGTTTTCAATACTTTAGGTAAATATGTGTTTTCTAGATTAACCATTTATTAGCACATACCTTAACATTATCAAAAACCCAGGTATCCAGTTTTGTTGCATCATCAGCACCAAAATCCTCTCTGTGAGCATCATAGCTGTATGTATAAACATGGTCTCCACTAGCACCTGAAAAAGAAATTTGGGAAAAATAGTTTTAGGGGTTTGAAAATTTTATTTTGAGACAGCCTCTCACTCTAGTTCAGGCTAGCCATGAATTCACTATGTAGCCCAGGCTGGCCTCAAACTCACAGCAAGGCTCTTGCCTCAGCCTCCTGCATCCTGGAATTACAAATGTGCACCACCACATCTGCCTAAGAAAAAATAATTTTTACTGAAAAAAAAAAACAAAACGGGGGCCAGGGAGATGGCTCAGTAGAATAAGCACTTCCCTGGCAAGCACAAGGGTCTGAGTTCAATCCTCAGTTCTGCCAAATAATAATAATAATAATAATTTTTTAAATACTTTAAACCATCATAAAACTCCAGATAATCATTTAAAGATATTTTAATGGAAAAAAGTAAAACAAAATTTCATAACAAAATAATAGGAGAATAATAATAGTTAATACATTGAGTATTGTTATTTTTAAAGTAGTTACTCAGAATATAAGGTATGGTAAGAGAGACAAGTAGTATAGTTATTTCCTTTTTTTCCTTCCTTCCTTTCCTATCCTACTTCCTTTTTCCTTTTGAACAATTTCTTCTCCTTTCTTTTTTTTTTTTTTTTTTTTTTGGTGGTACAGGGATCAAACTCATTTTGTGCTTGTCAAGTATTTCTCATTTCACAATATCCACTGTACACCCTGGACCTTATTTATTTAAAGATTTATTTTTTACCTTTAAATACTTTTTTTTTTATGTATTTAGTACAGAGTCTGCAGGGTCTCACTACACAGGTTGGATTCCTAGTGACCCTCCTGTTATCTGCCTCCCAAGTGCTGGGAAAATAGGTGCGTGCCACCACGCCCAGCCTCAATCCTGGTCTCAGCACACCCTGCAAGGCACACTGGGGGTGGAACCCTGGTTTCTCTCCATCTGCCTAAGTAGGTGCTTTAACCCACTGAGCTATCTGGCCAAGCCAAAATTCTTTTTCATTGAGACAAGGTTTTGCCATGTTGTCAGACTGGTCTTGAACTCCAAGGCATTCTGAATGCTGGGATTATGGGCATGTGCCACTATGTGTTCTATTTAGGAATTTTTATGAATAATCAGAAATTTTAAAATAGTTTTCTTTTATAATAGGGAAAAGGAAGAATAATTCACATTATTTATTTTATGTGCCATGAATCATACTATATACTTTCACATATTCTTTTTGTCCTCATAATAACATATTGATTTACATTTATATCACATAAATAATTAACTTGCAAAGGTATAAACTTCTGCTTTTAAGTTAGGTTTACTGAAATAATTTAGATATACACAATGATCATATTTATCATAGCAAATGTGTACCTGTATATATGTCTTAGTTCCTCTTTTTTTCCTATTCCTCTCTCTTCTCTTCAACTCTTCTCCTCATTTACAAAGCTGTTTCCATTTTATCCTTTTTTTCTCATTTTTTTTGTTTTCCTTTCCACCACCAACTTCCCCTTTTGAACTATTCCCTATTTCACCACATCAACTATGTATTTTTGTTCTTATTTACACTTTCAGTTTCTCTTGTCTAAGAGACACTGTGATATTTGTACATATGTGTCCAGTTTATTACACTTAAGAGTATAGTCTCAAGGTCCTTCGATTCAGCTCTAAATGTCAAAAGTTTATCCTTTATGGCTGAGTAATATGCCATTGTATATAAAATCACATCTTTTTTATCCATCTCACAGCATTTACATCATGAGCAAAACCCTGACTGCACAGGAAATACTACAAAGAATCAACAATGGGAATCTCATTTTATTAGAAAGTTTTCATACAGCAAAAGAAACGACTAACAGTGAAAAGACAATACAGAGTGGGGAAAAACATCTCAGCCAGTTGTTCTTCAGACAAAGGACTAGTATATAGAACACAGAAAGAATTGAAAAAAAAAAAAAAAAAAAAAAAAAAAACTGAAGCCAAATTTCAAGACCCAATCCAAAAATGGGCATCTGAAATGAACAGATACTTCTCTGAAGTACAAACAATAAATAAATACATGGAAAAATGTTCAACATCACTGATCATTCAAGAGATGCAAATTAAAATAATGCTGAGATTACTTATCACTGCAGAAACAATAGCTTTTCTTAAAAACTCAACCAAGCCTGGCCAGATAGCTCAGTGGATTAAAGCTCCTGCTTAGGCAGACACAGGGGCTGGATTCGATCCTGATGTGCTGTGCCAAGCCCATTCCCAAGCACACTGAAAAGTTGATTGAGACTGGGCGTCGTGGCACATGCCTATAATCCCAGCACTTGGGAGACTGAAAACAGGAGGATCACTACAAGTTTGATCTGTGTAGTGAGATCCTGTAGACCCTGTAGTAAATACAAAATAAATAATAAATAAATACATACACACTCAACCAATAGCAAATGTTGGCAGGGTTGTAGGGAAAAAGGAACCCTTTTCCACTGTTGGTGGGAGCGTAAATTGATACAACCACTGTGGAAATTAGTATGGAGATTTCTCAATAAACTAGGACTAGGGGTTTCATTAGACTCTAGATACTCTATTTCTTGGTATTTTTCCAAAAGAATTAAAAGTACCATATAACACAAATATATGTGTACCCAAGTTTATAATAGCAAAGTTTGTAATACCTAAAACTTAGAAATCTAAATTGTTGTATGCACTAAAACAAAAATAAGTACCAAAGGTTGTATCTTGTTAAGGATTAAACTATTTAAAAATGCATGTTTCTATAGGAAGTTACAATCTAAGTTTTTTGTTTTTGTTTTAATATGTATTTGGTACAGCTCCGACTCATAGTGATCCTCCTGTTTTCAGCCTCCTCAGCCCTGGGATTACAGGTGTGTGCCACCATGCCAGGTCTCAGTGGCTGCTTTATGCCCCTAGGGGCGGGGCTGGTGTAACATGTGGTGCTGGAGATGAACCCTGGTCCCTGCGCTTGCCTAAGCAGGCACTTAGTCCGCTGAGCTATCTCATCAGCCCTAAGATTTTTTAAATGTGGTGTGGTATATAAACCTTCCTAAACCGAGAACAAAATTCAAAATTTCTTTTATTACAGACTATGTGCATTTTTCTCTATATGAGGGAAGAAATACTGCTTACTGTTGAACAGTTTAAAAAAGTTAACAAATATATTAATCTTACAGATTTGCAAGATTTTAAGATAATTTCTGTTTGACAGGTACTTTCAGGTTCTAAGAAAGAAATGTGAGAAGTAATAACAATTTCTCCATCATTCTAGCTCTAATGACCCTGCTCAGCCACTTCTCTCCTCAGTTATTCTATTTCCCAGAGGCCCAAATAAAGAAGTCTGGGGCTGGCAAGATAGCTCAGTGGTCTAAAAAGCCTGCTTAGGCAAGCTAAGGCAGGCCCAGGGGTCTGTGGTTCGTTCTCC